TATGTATGTATTGTATATTTATGCAAAAGTACTCGGCATTGAAAAGAAAAATTTTATTTTATATTTTCAAAGTTTAACACTTCAAGAATAAGTTTACAAAAGTATTTTCAAACTTCAAATTATTTTCGGATATATAAGTAGGTATTTTGCTGACCTGGCATTGAAACTGTTTTGACCGGAACTGAAACTTAAAACGCGTTTTTTTCGAAATTGTTTTTTTCAAAACGATTTCTGAGAGTCTTCTTTAAAGATTTGTCCATGTCTGGAACTATCCATATTCCCATATTCCCATATTCCCAAATTTCAATTTTAACTATTTATAAAAAATTCGAAGAAATCAAAAAAATTATAAAAAAATTATTTTTTTTTTTCAGACAACCCCCATTTCGTGAAAAATACTTTTTTCCAACATTTCCGTAGTACCGAACACTGCGACATTATTCTAGAATTTAACTTAAAAATTATTTTTTAGTTTCCGATCGCTAGGAGGATTGAAGTCGTGGGTATGCTCACTTATCAAATTATTGAGACGCCCCCTTTTATCAGCTGCTAATGTTTGAAATTTTTAATTGTTTGAGTTTTTTCCGGTATTTTTGTAATGTTAATAAAATACTAATTAAAAAAAGTAAATTGCAAAAATATTAATTGCTTTTTTTTGCGGCACTCCAAAAATTTTCTGATATTCATGGCTCTAGACTAAAATACCCCCTAAGCAGCTCTTTCAAAACTTTAAGATTTAATAATTATTTGTTATACTTACTTATGTAAAATTTGTGTTGCAAGCTGCGGACAGTGCCGCCGTAAGAAATATCTAACAGCAAAGCAATCACTGGCGTATGGTCACATTTTTATAAACATAAGAATTTGTATTGCAACTCGATGAGTGATTTTAGGTACATACATACATACATGTACATACTATGTATGTATATCGAATATCAACCATTCTTTTACTATGACATTTTCCCATTGAGTCATAGAAACGAGTTTAATGAACATTATTAAATCCAATCCAATTTTAGTTTGTAAGTACGTATTTTTTTCCCCCTTTAAGCTATTTTCATGCGGTGCGATTTAAACTATTCATGTAATAATCTAACCATATCTTTTATAACTAATTTTAATAACAAGAATTGTTACATATTTTACATATCATTTCGTTTAAATTAATTGTATTATACAATATTATATTTTTATATTCTCTCCGATAATTCCTGTAATGAAGCGGACAAAGCACTCAGCTGTTTAAGAAGTTCAACAATTGTTGACAGTGTTTTATTTCCTAAGCGCTAAATGTACTGCTAAATAAACAATAACATTCTATTGGTATGTATGTAAGTGTATTAGTATACCATAAAATTAAAATTAAATATGTATGTATGTATGTGTATCTTTGTAATATGTAATATATAAATATACTTACATATACATATTTTGATTACTCTAATATTTTCGGGGAATACTTTACGATGCTACAACAACATCTCACACATTTCACTTCCATGGAATACAATTAACACTTAACGTGTAAAATACTTTAAAATCCACAAGAAAAATAACATCATATGGCTGTATTTATATTCAAACCTGGATATATTCGTACACACACACATACATATGTATGTATGTACATACATAAGCAGTTGTATTGCCTTAGAAAAGTGACAGGTGCACCAAAGCGGCACTACAGAATGAAATACAAAACCAAAACCAGAAAACTCGAATTATTACAATGAATTTCGAAGTTACATGCATACGTGTGTACATACTTATTCAGGAAAAGTGCACTCGCTCCTACGAATGTACCCTGTAGGAAAACTAATAAACATGAAAGAAAGTAATTTTGCCAAACTCAAAAAAATGCAAATGTGGTAAACTGCGCTGATATATGTAGCCATTATAGCTTGTCTGTTTATCTTTCCTTCACGGTTTTTGAGTTAATATAAAATATAATATACAGACATACTTTTATATAATTCATATAGTCCATGCGTCGAAAGAGACAAAGGCGGTAAGGCCATGCAATTTTCATAACCATACTAAAATATGAAGAACTTCAATTTATAACTTTTCTAAATAGAATGCTAAGAACGTTAAAGATTTTGATCTTTAGCCGAACTACTCGTCATGCTGCATTTTGATATCTATTGTTAGACCGGGATGACATCTTCAGGTATTCAAATTCCTCGAGAATCATAAAAAATTGGTACCTTTTTTTTACTGCCCCAGACCTTTCAATGCCGTCAAATGTAGCTTAAAAAATCGGCCGGATGACAAACTAGAAGGTACTGATGCGCCACCAAATCAAACAACAATTTCCGGTAGTATTTATGATGGGCAAACTAGGCAAATCATTTAGGAATTGTGGTTGGGGGACTTGGAACTTGTCATTTCTGAAGAGCAGAATAAGCATAAGGGGTGACATGAGTTTTACTGCTTCAAAAAATCGTTTTATGTTTTTTATTATCTTATTTAAATCTATAACATCTTTAGAATATTGTCCTAAATAGTTTTGGAGATACAGCCTTGAAAAGTTGCGCGTTCGAGGTCAGCTATATAGTCACTTAAAACGCTTTTTTCTCTCGAAACTCATCTTAATGAAATTTTACACAGGACTTCGAGATATACTTTACAAGTTCTTGAACGAAGGATTTTTTTTTTGTCAATTGCAACTATTTAAACAAAACGTTTGCCAAAAATACATTTTTCACTTTTTTCCTTCGTGTTGTTTACAGTCTTATTTAAAACACGTCTTTTTTTATTTTTTACTGCAGATGATCCTTTAAGTTCTGCTGTCAAACCGGCGGCTTTTTTCTTAGTTTTGAATATTTCCCTTTGAAAATTTCACAAAATTTTAGAAAAGTTTGGAATAATAAAAAGTTTGAATAAAATATTTAATTTTTTATGCAAAAAAAAAAAATATTGAAATAGCGTTGGCGATCTCTATAAAAAAGAGAATTAGTTCCAATTCATTAATTACTGGCATTCGTTTTCAATTTTCCTACGAGGCATTTACGAAATGATTACACATACGCACATACAGACACATAAACAGTGGCACACTCCTGAATATGGCCAAGAGCTATTGGATTTATTTAGAAACAGTAATTTGACATTTGTTACATTGTTTTCTTGTATTCTGAGATTTTGCGGACATAAATACTTGTACATACAAACGCATATATATGTATGTATGTACGAAAATTAATAAAGTAAATAAACCTTAAGTGTAAACAAATCGACAGCGATAAAATAACGTTGATGATCGGTCGTTGATGTAGGAATTATTGTATATTGCCGTTATGCCGGTATTTTATAGAATGAGAAATTAAATGTTTCATTAATAGGAAAATGTCGAAATTGATGAACAAATGGTAATTTATTGCAATCTCGCAAAATGTCAAGAACACTAAGCTATGTATGTTCATACACATATGTTCATATATATTTATATACATATGCATGTGTGAACTGCGAATGTCACCGAAAGGCTATTGAAGTGTGCGAATTGCCCATAAAAAATAAATGTGCATACACCATACATATGTATATGCTTGTTTGTGCGAATGTAATAAAAATTGCAAATGTGAAAATTTATGGAATGGCGGATATGTAAATGTAAGCACGGTTCAAGGAATTGTGGGAGATTTTGCTAAGGTCATAGATATCAACCACAACAATTGAGTTCTTGAACTATACAATTGGGTTCAAAAATTGTATATGATTATATTGTTTGCACTTGAATAAATATATTTCTAGATTTATAGTAGTCAACCTGGTAAAATAGTCTGATACCTATGGTCCACCGATTGATTCTACGAAATTAAGGCATTCGCCATTGTAGCCGATTAAAAATATCGAACCCGCCACAACATAATTTCTACAACCCGAAAGTCTTATTCTTATTTACACATTCCTTTGGTTAGGGTTATTCACGATTTATTGAACTTAGTCTTTATAATAGTCAGTATAAAAAATAAGGAGAGTTACAATTCAAAATTTTAATGGTTACTTATGTGAAGATTTTAAGGCGTTAGCTTAGGTTAAAGTCCTATACAAAAGCGCCAAACAGGTTCGCCTCTTCTGAAACTACTAAAGCCAAACAACGTCCATATGGAGTCAGAGTAAGTACTCTAAGTATGATAAAAACTTTACCAGCGGCATCTTTGCTTTGGCTTACCCCGTGGTAGTTTGCAGGCTCATATTTTATACATTCTACGGTTTTGCAATGCTCAGACAGAGCTCATAGGTTAATGGCATTACTGGTTTTTGTTAATGTTTTAGATATGAAGCGTGGCAATACAAGACTCGTACCAAAAGACATGAATCTTTTGCAAAACCGACATCGAGTAAAGGTCGCAAAAGAGAAGACCCTATACTCATCTAACGCATCACTACTGGCGATGAGACGTGAGCTTATGAATATGAGATCGAAACTATCCAATGGCGAATGAAGCTTCAAAAATGAGCTGAAACCGAAAAAAAATTAAGGCAATGAAGGCTATCCCAGCCGAAGCTTATAACAAGTGTATGAAATATTGGATTAAGCGTTGACATGCTTGTTTTGGCATATAAACCTATTTTGAAGGTGGTAATAGAAATTTTTATTAAACGTTAACGTGAAAATATCCGGGTCAAATTTGATCAGATAGTAATATAGAAAAATGTATAATTTAAAAGTGCTCGTAGAAGGCAAACTAGCCCTAAATTGTTATTTAAACCTTTGAGATATGGTACCGAGCTTTTTATAATTTTTGAAACCTTTAAATGGTAGGTGGATTTTATAACAAGGTAATTCATATTGCTAATATATTGGGATTTTTTAAATTTTCCGCCCAGGAACAGTCTTGTTGAATAGATTAGGATTAATTCAAAGATGATAGATGCATTAAAAAGCGATAAGCAGTAAATCTTTAGAGCATTGGCCTTCTCTTGACAATTAAATAGATATCTTCCTCTTCGTCTAGCTATGTTAACAACTGCAAAGCGGAAGAAATAATGACTAAGGGGTCTTGAAATAAAAAGAATAATATTTATCTAGAGGTGGGACGAACAATGTAATCTTGAAACTCTCAACAGAAACTGGCTCTTACTTTTTTAATAGTATGTTCAAAATGGATGGAAAATACTAAGTAAATTGTAGAAGAGATTTAACCCAGCAGGACAAATAAAAGACAATCTCTGATAAACAATTAAAAATATTACATATACATAGGTATATCTTTACAGACTCGTAACCACAATCTCAGGGCATTGGCCATTTTGAGAATATGTTACGAAAATAGGCTACTCAAATAATAACCGTTTTAGGAATTATACCAAGCTCTTCTTGGCTGCCATCAGTTTTTTAATATGGTATTAGAGGCATTTGCATATTCTGTTACAGAGTAACTAACATCAATTAACCAACCAAACTTCTCTTATAGCTCATTGAACATTGTAATAAAAATATCAAAGTTAAAAAGTACATATGAATACCTTGCCTGAGTCGGCGAAACTACCCATGCAATACATCTAATATATTCAGCAGATCGTGAATAGTCCTATTGTGTTTGAGTGACGTGTAAATGAAGTGCAAAAATAAACCACATTTATTTACTGTTTGGCTATTTCGCACGTGCTTCTTTTCTAAGCATGTGCTAAGCACTTACCTGGTGTTGAAGGGTTCAATGCCGCCGCTGTTGTCAGCACTGTCGGCACTGTTGTCGCCAGCATTATAGCCGACGCATCCACCGTCAATGCGGCGATCGCGTGCAGGAGTATGGTGCCGACGGACAGTATTGCTATTCGCCAACTGAAAGTAAATGATGGGAAGAAATAACAGAAATTAGTCGTCAGCTTTTGCTACAAAAGTGTACACATATAAATGTATATATGTATGTATATATGTATATGTACATACATATGTGTTGAATTGTGGTGTTGTACCACCTATAGTACCGCTAATTGGTTAAACACACTTAAATAATAGGTAGGTCATGTTGATAAATGTGAAGGTTGCAAGAATGGAGGTATTATTAATTTCCAATAAAGAGAAATGTTTATTGAATTTATTGTTTAGTGACTGTATTGTTCTTGGAATCTGTTGGCAATTAAATGAATGCATATGCTTACACATTTGAGACAAAAGGCACTACTTATGGAAATGGTGCGAGAAAAGCAACAAAAATCGATTGAATAAAAATTAATATTACTAAAAGCAGGATTTTATAAAGATAGAACTTATTCAAAAATATATAGTATAATATTAGATCAAATTTGACCCGAACTAACAAACACATATTTCAATACAGATTTTTATTATCGCCTTCAAAATAAACTCTTTTTGAACCATTCTAAAGCTTAATCCAATCACACACTTGTTATACGGCTCGGCCAAAATGGCCTCCAGTGCTTTCATTTTGGTTTTTTCAGTTTCGGCTCATTTTAAGAGCGCCGTTCGCTAAATTGTGGAACCGTTTCGACGTATTTTTCATAAACTCATGTCTTGTGACTAGTAATCATACGTTTGACGAATGTAGAATGTCAATATTTTGTGAGAGAAAATTCGATGCTCACATTAAAAAGAGGCTTGATAAGTGCTGTCCAAGCTATGTGACCAACAAAACAACCTTTCATTAGTTGGTTCTAAATCCGTACACTCTCTATGGAAAATCTGAGAAGAAAATAACCCTACCGTCACAATTTACATTTTATGGTTGCGCTTCACAGCAGCATTTAACGCTGTTTAAGCACAATCGGAAGGAGTTTTTGCATTGTTTCGTAACCGTGGATCCACTGCTGCATACCAGTCGAATTAGCCGTCTGCATATATGAGAACAATTTTAAAATATCGATATGAAATTTTGCACAAGTCCTTTTCTTTTCAAAAATTTACTCATTTGTCGGCGCCGATATCGCACCACTATAGCATATAGCAGTCAATCAGGCTGACCGATCTAAATCCAGCCTTTGTATGGAAAACTTTTTTATGTCACAAGATATCTTCAAGAAATTCGACACAGATTATTCTCCAAGGAAACGCAACAATCTCCAGGCATATCATATCGGATATATGAAGCATATAGTTGGTATTCAAACTGGATTTTCAAAATCAAGCTAAAGATTATTTTATACCCTTTTATGCTATAAGAAATGCACTTTCGAAGGGTACTTTAGCTTCAGTGCACCCGAAATTTATTATGTTCTTGTTTTTTTTTTTTTAATTTTTAAACATTCTAATATCCCGTTGTGGTCTTCTGCAAAAATTTGAGTTTTTAAGTTTTGAGTATAAAGTTTATAAGTCATATTCCTTTTCTTCGTTTATTTTTTTGTTAGTTTTTATTAATATTGTTTACATTAAATGTCACACTTCTTTGAAATCACTTGAATTTAAAACCCAAAAATGCCTTGATAAAAATATAAAATTGCTGGAGTTAACAAATTTTCTTGGAACTCTTGCTTTTTTATCACCAACTATATCAACTTAATAAAAAACTAAATTTTTAACCGCAAAACTGCGTAATAATTAGTATATACATACATACATAAGTAAACTCGACAGCATATTATATTTAAGGAAAGTGTTTATAAGGAAGTTATTCACAATACAGTCGGGAAAAAACTGATATAGACTCCAGCTTTGTGCAACTACTTGTTATATACGGACTGACTGACTAACAAATAAGTTTAAAGTAAATTTTTATATTTGATTAAGAAAGAACAATAAGTTCATACACAAACCGAGGCAAGTATTTACTACATACTTAAAAACTTTGTACAAACAACTTTATTAATGATTAAATACAAATAAGCATTTATAAACCACATATAAATCATACATAATTCGCTCTAATCAGATTACCTAGAATCCATAACCGAAACGAAAAACATTCGAAAAAAGCACCATCTTTCTGGGAGTCCGGAAATTTCTCTCATACCATGAATAAGCTTTCATTGAGACATTTACTTAAACGTAATAAAGTTGCTTAATTCGCATTTGTTTATATTTAAACAAGTAAGGAAGGGCTAAGTTCGAATGTAACCGAAAAATTTTTACTCTCGCAAAGTCAAATGGTATACTCGTTTGAGATTTCTTTGTGGATTGGCTGATATTTTCGGTAGAAGGTCAATTATAGGCACTGGGGTCCACATATGTAGTACTTAGGGGCTTGAACACTTTTGGTTCGATTTAGACAATTTTTGGTCACAAGGTGGCATACTTTAAACGTCAAGTTTTACGCCGATATAAACATTGTTGCTTGATATGCATGGTGGAAAGTGAAAGAATCAGATGGAATTGAAAATGGTGTTATATGGGAAATAGGCGTGGTTGTAGTCCGATTTCGCCCATTTTCGCACTATGACATAGAAATATGAGTAGAACGTTATGCACCGAATTTGGTTGAAATCGCTTAAGCAGATCCCAAGAAATGAGTTTTCACCTAAAAGTGGGTGGTGCCACGCCCACTGACTAATTTTGAACGCGCTTCCTATGAAGTCATCTCATACCATCCCAGAGATAAAATTTAATGTCTCTGGCGTGTTTCGTGCTTGATTTATCGCGCTTTTAGTAGTTTTTAACAGTACCGTTATATGGGGAGTGGGCGAAATTGCCACCCGATTTCACCCATTTTCACACTGTAGGTAGAGGATCTAAAAGCATTTCCTTCCAGTGAATTTTGTTATTATAGCATTTAGGAGATATGCACATTAGGTTTAGGAGATATGCACATTAAACCTATTAGGGGCGGGACCACGCCCACTTTAATAAAAAAATGTAACTGCAGATGCCCCTCCCTATTGTGATCCTGTATACCAAATAATAGTCTTGTATCTTATTGTGGAGCTTAGTTGTGGCAATTTATTTGTTTTTGATTAATGGCGTTTTTTGGGCGTGGCAGTGGTCCGATTACGCCCATCTGAAATACCGTCTTACAGTACCAAGAAACATGTCTACCAAGTTTCATAAAGATATCTCAACTTTTACTCAAGTTAGAGCTTGCACGGACGGACAGACAGTCACCCGGATTTCAACTCGTCTCTTCATCCTGATTATTTATATAGATATAACCCTATATCTAGCTCGATTAGTCTTAGGTGATACAAACAACCGTTAGGTGAACAAAACTGTTATACTCTGTAGCAACAGGTTGCGAGAGTATAAAAAAAAAGGGAGATAAACAATGGGATTCGTAGAAAATTTGTTATCAATGGAACATTTCATGCGTTCGTGCAAAGATTCTGGAGAGCATGTGACAAATGCGCAAATGGCAAGCGGATTCGAAATTATAATATTTAAACTGCATAAATCCACATGTATGTATGTATGTATGTACATAGTATGTATGAGTAAAGCTTGCGAAATTCTTTAAAGGGCATATGTTTTTGGTTATGTACATTCAAATGTACATTTCTCATACGCCCATGCATACTTGAGTTAAAAACATTATTCATTTGGGACTCACTGACCACACATAAATGTCACATTGCAAAATATTGCCAAATGCAATGAGCTTTGTATAAATAATAGGAGTGAAAAAAACATTAAGAAAGTTTTAATATAATCGAATACATTTTACAATATGAATTTGGCAAAATTTTCTTACGATGAAGAGGAACAATTAAATCAGGGAGACTGTAGCAGAGCTTGAAGGGCTGCCTGAAATGAATAGGATCCAAAAATGATGTAAGAATATGCGGCGATTCACACTACGGATAACATACATATTGTATATATTTGTATAATTAAATTTATCAATAAATAAATTAAATAGGTTCGAAGTGAACGTTTTTACGAACATTTTTATATACAACGAAATGATGTTTAGCCAAAAATTCATAATCGAAGATGACAAAACTGATATTATTCAGTATCAAGGCACTGAACGTCAAGAAAAGTGAATCGATTGCTGCTGTCTGTTTGGCGGCTTTATAGTTCAGATCTGAAAATAGTTTTCGCAGTACCAGTTGGTATTAGCAGAGAATATAACATGCCTTTTGAAAAGAATAAGAATCCGGGTCAGTTCCGGTTTCGTAGACCCGACTGTCGTGGGAACGGTCATATAAGTCATTGACAATGGTAAAACTGGTCTAAAATTTGTAAAACAAAACCTGGCAGATTTTTTTAAGATTTCTTTCACGTGAAGGCCGAAATCCCTGCAGCAGTTGAGGATATTTTAGCGTCGTCGCAGATCGAGTGAAAAATATTTCTTTTTTTCTTCAAAAATTTTAGCGTATACATACATATGTAAGTATATACAAGTTTAATTAAAAAATATACAGTGTCAAACAATGGCAAGGTTTACCGCGTGGAAGCTTTGCTTTAATATTAAATAGTCATAATAATAAACATACCTACATATAAGTATCAAATATTATACTGAAATATTATATTATGAATTTATATTTATGAAATATTACGATAAAGACGTAAGGTATATACTTTTATAATGTATGTATATATAATATGTATGTAACTAAATATAAATGTATTGTATATAATATGTTTCTCTCAATAAATACGTATTTTATTTCGATAAGGTTTCGCTTAGATGCCATAAGTTTGTAGTCAACTACATGTATTATTTGTAAACGGTCGCTGCAAAATACAAAAAACTACGAGTTCGTGCATTAAGGTGGATCCTAATTTATGTTACAAATTTAATTCGTAAAGTTCGTAACGTTGTACATGAAATGCATACAGTGTTTCAATAAAGTCTTCGTACAGCAGCTACTTAAAAGTTTATTGATAAAAATCAGCAACACTTTGCAAATTTTTTAAATGTTTTTAATAATAATTTGTTTATAAACATT